AGGTATGTAAACTTAATTTTATTTGAACTTCTTGTCATAGAGTCAAGAAGGGAACAATGAGGAACATAATACACAAAGGAAAAAAGAGAAATTTTGTAAGACCCCTATTAGTTCTATACATCTTTGGAATTTATGGATTTCATTTTAGTATTCTTTTATTTCCTTTGTTAGCATTATAGTTTCTTCTCATGTTTTGGTCTCCCTTCAATTTACATTCCATTGGGTATAACCTAGTTTTACTTGTAAGTTAAAGCCTTGGTTTTTGAAAAGCTTACCATGTCAATCAATATTTGGTGCTGGTCAATACATGTAAAGTAAGGATTTTAAGTTCTAGTTTCTGTCCTTTCAAGCAGAGCGAAGCATGTAAAGGCATCAGTACATGTTAGTTGCAAGGAAGATCTAGACAATACCAAGGATGCCACAGTCTATACTTATGTAGACGAGTCCAGGGAGAGAATATTGGCCAAGGTCTGATTTGCTTGGTTCATGTAATTTAATCTATCCTTGGTTACTGTACTATAAGCTAATAATCTGATTTACATAGCTGAGAGAGAGAATGACTGCCGATGATGTTCAATTGCTTGAGAAATTATTTGTACTGGAGGGAATTTTCTTTGATCCCAATTCAATTGACGAGATAGAAGCCACATATGAAGATGTTACATCAAGGACAATCTCATCATTGCATAAAGCCGTGGAAGAGCTGAGTACTGGTGTAGAGAAGGTAAGAGATACATACATCTGAGTTCACTGGTATAAATAGGGTTCTATTCAATTTGATTTCACTGCTTTCCTTTCATTTGCTCTTTTTGTTTAATAAATCAGTGAATAGTTGAAAAGCTCTTCTGTCGGGCTTGATATGAATACTAAAGTGTGTTTGCTGGACTACCTAGGAAGGATTTTTCCAGAAAGATTATGTACTCAGCAAAGGCTTCATGAAGTAGGTTAGGAAGGAATTCTGCTTTATATTTTTTGAGTTCTAACACTTTGTGGGAGAGGATTCTTCTGCTGGATTTTTGAAAAGAATGAAAGCTCTCCAGCTATACCTCAAGAAAGTGAAATTGAGAAAATTAGAAACATATATATGATTACCTTGTATAGACTATATAATGTCCTTCACATTTTTAACCTTTCATGCTTTTTGAAAATTCCAGCAAAAGATTGATGTTATAGTTTACGATCCACATACAGTCTTAGCTAACATTATCAATTGGATAGAACTAATGTATAGTAGAACAAAGAACAAATGTAGGTAAGAAATATGATTAGAATTCTACTTATAGATAATGGACCGAGTGCAGAGTCAAAAACCATCCAAAAGCTTTTTCACGCGATCACAATTTCTTTACTAGATGAGTTTTCGTAATGGTATGGAGCTTTCATTTTGATTGTGCTGTTGTGTCAATCATTTTACAGATGAAAAGGGAGAATGTCGCTCTTAAGGCCAGCTTGAAAGTTTCTGAAGAGTTTTATCAACATCAACTCGAAAGAAGGTCGTTCTGCTTCATTCTCTGATTGTAATTATGGACCTTCATTTTTAAAGACTGCATTTAAGACGTGAATATTGGATTTGATAATAGGTTACTTGTCATCTCATGACACTTATATTTTTTGGACATGTAAAGGAAGCCTTAAAAGTTAGCAATTCGTGGAAGCAACTTCCCGTTTTGCTTGCAGAAAGGATTGAAGTTTTTTGGGCCCATTTACCTTTGCTTTCTGAGATTTCTAATTTTCACAGTACTCAAGTTCATTTTTTCAAGCAATATTTTCTTTGAGCCAAAAATGCCCTTTTGTTCTCTTTTGTGTCATTGCCACTGAGATTAGTGATTCAAAGGTATTAAAATTACCATTGTTCAACGCATTAAGAATCATTAGATTTGTAAACCACCAGGGTGTTTAAGACCATACAATTTTTTTATTTTAAAAGTTTTTCTATTACTGTGATTTTATGAATTCTTTTCCAATTTAACTATCCGGTATCCCTCATCCCTTGGCTCGACTAATATGGAAACAGTCGGCTAATCTAGTAAAGAGATTAACAATGGGGGATCACAATTATAAATGTAAACCAACTTGAAAAAGAAGTATAGAATATCACTAATGCTTAGACACATATACTGTATGCATGGACGTTAGGGATGGCAATTAATCGAGCTAATCTGTAATTAAATAAGCATAGATTCCATGAGTAGACTTATTTGAATGGTTTACTAAAACATGTCTGACCTCCACCTAATGTTCTTATTCTTCATTACTTTCTCAAATCAGATCCACCTACTACACCGGTTTAAAAGAAGAAATAAATATTACACTCCGGAAGCCCATGGCAGTCAAAAGATATTCTCTTTGATTCCGTTTCTTTAAATACTTTCTAATTTTTAACCGTTGTAACTTATAATTCCATACTTTTTATATATTTTTAAATATGTAAATTTTTTAATTCTTTTTTTAGATTCTATGTACAAATTCACATCGAATATTAGTCAGTTTGATCCTCGTATTCCGAATTTTTTGGGACAGCTGGAGACGTATATATACACGTTGAAGACAAGCAACTTTCACATGTACATGTCTGACCAAGATTGAATTAAACATGATATCAGAAATGAATGCACTGACATTCTAAAATGTCTCTGTCACAGAACCATATTGCATAAATTTCACAGCTGAGTTATAGTATTATAGTGGTTAGAGAAAATAACATTAGAAAAAGGACAATTTTTACCTGTTTGATGACAAGGAAACTGTCCCAATCAAATCTGTTTTCTCATTAATGGAAACACTTTTAATCATAGCATCCATTCATGGAAGGATATGAAAGTAATTGAACAACAACCAATTCACAATCTTTTAGCCTTTCCCACAATTCAAAGACAACTTGAAATTGAAGCGAAAAAGCCCAACAAATCTTATTTTAAGAGGATACAAATGCCAACTTTTTGTCAAAAGAGCAAAAAAACATGGCTTCTTCAACCACTTGTGTCCTTCACATTCTTGTCCTTTTCTTCATCTGCTTGCCCCTGGCTAATACCATAGATTTCAATTACCCTGCAGTCTTCAACTTTGGTGATTCAAATTCTGATACAGGAGGTCTTGTTGCAGGCGTTGGTGATCGCCTAGAGCCACCTAATGGACAAACTTATTTCAAGAATCCATCTGGGAGGTTCTGTGATGGCCGACTAATCATCGATTTCTTGAGTAAGATTCCCACTTCAAAGTACCATTTTTTGATTTACTTTGAAGGTTATATTTATATACTTTTTTTTTTGATGGATTTTTGTTGCAGTGGATGCAATGGATCTGCCATTCTTGAACTCCTATTTAGACTCCGTTGCTGCACCGAGTTTCAGAAAAGGAGCCAACTTTGCAGCTGCTGGTTCAACTATACTTCCCGCCACTGCATCATCTGTTAGCCCTTTTTCATTTGGGATTCAAGTCGCTCAGTTTTCCAGGTTCAAGAATCGGGTTTCTGAAATTCAAGCGAAGAGTAAGTTTGATCATGTTTCTGATAATCAAGGCTCATTTGCATATATCAAAATCCTATATATCTTGTGAGATTTTATTGATTTTCTTTGCAGCTAGGAAATATGATAAGTACGTTCCAGCTCAAGATTTTTTCCAGAAAGGACTTTATATGTTCGACATAGGCCAGAATGATCTTGCTGGTGGATTTTACTCCAAGACATTAGATCAAATTCTAGCTTCTATTCCAACTATTCTTACAGGATTTGAAGATGGTGTCAAGGTCAATTCTTATAACAGAAAATTACGCGGATTTTCTGTACTGATTATCAATTGCAGGTTGTAAACTCATTTCTGCTTCCTCTTTGACATCACAGAGATTGTATGACCTAGGGGCCAGGAATTTCTGGGTTCATAATACAGGTCCATTGGGGTGCTTAGGTCAGAATATAGCCAAATTTGGAACTGATGTATCAAAGTTGGATGAGCTTGGATGTGTTAGCTCACATAATCAAGCTGCAAAACTTTTGAACCTGCAGCTTTACGCCCTTTGCAAGAAACTTCAGGGCCAGTATTCAGATGCAAATATCACTCATGTTGATATTTTTTCCATCAAGTCTAATCTGATAGCAAATTATTCCCGAAATGGTAAGTTACTATGTTTCTTTACTCGCAAATGTCAAAAAGAAGATTGTATTATGCAATTTCTTTGTGATTATAGAATTCATGAGACATGAAGTGAAATTGTTCCACCAATATCTTATGAACTTTATTGAGAAGAACTGCAGTGCGCCCACTGTGTTCTTCATCTGGAAGGCCATGAGTGGAGGAGAGACGGTGCATTTGCTTTCTTGATTTGGCTAAACCAACTTTAGAACTTCCTCTGATAAACACAGCTGAGAATCATACTTTTGCCATCATGATAACTTGTTTATACTTCAACTTAGAGGAAACTAAAGCAGGACGAGAGTTTCCACAAAGTGCACTTTCATTAAGTTGTAGAAGAAAAGAATTAATATAACACTTGGTACTTTGCATTTACACCTTGCAGGATTTGAGCAGCCACTAATGGCTTGCTGTGGATATGGAGGACCTCCACTCAACTATGACAGCAGGATTGCCTGTGGTCAGACAAAGGTGTTGGATGGAAACAATGTCACTGCCAAAGCATGCAATGACAGTAGTGAATATATCAATTGGGATGGAATTCACTACACAGAAACTGCAAACCAGTTTGTCGCCTCACAAATTCTCACCGGAAAATACTCTGATCCACCCTTCGCTGACAAGATGCCTTTCCTTCTCAAACTAAAGTTCTGAGGAAATAACATGCTTATCATTGTTTTATTCTCTGTATACTTATATATTTTAATTTACTAAAGAAATTCAATACTTTCATGGATTCTTGAAAATATAGAACTTATGGATCGTGTCATGATGGATACCACTAAAAATAACCCTTTACATTATCAGCGATGCAACAGGAAAGTTTTATCTACTTCTTATAAAAAGAAATGGCAGTATCCGTTATGTTAGGGGAGGTCCAAATCTTCATATTTATCCTTTTTAAATATCTCATGAATCAGTCATTTCCGAATGGACCATTTTGTACACGATAATATACATGCTTACTCAAATCTCACGAAAATGTAACTTTCCAGAATCAGACAGTTCACTTCTTTGAAACATATGCATAGTATTGAGCCATAGGAACAACAAAAGCAATCACTAACAGCCCACCAACCACAAGTGTGAATTGTCCTCTTTTCTCATCAGTTTCCTCTCTGGATTTGAAGTTGGACTCTCTTTTGTTATCCTTGAGTTGGGGGCCACCAGGATCAGGAAGGCCATCAATGGCTGCAACAAGACGTGTGGCAGTGCTGAAAACTGCTTCATTGTACTTCTCTTCAGTAGCCAACACTACAAATATTGAAACCAATAGCCCCACCATCAGAATCAAGAGCATTAGTGTACTTTCACTATGAAACAAAACAGAATTGTTCTGGGGTTGCTAGTTCTCCTATATATACAGAACAAGTTGTCTAGACAGATAATACTTTATTAGAATAGTCATCTACACACAGAAAAAACATGTGGTGATCGATAATTCTGTGTGAACCTTCCCAAATTTGGTTTATCCAACAAACACTTAGAATTCATGCATCCAAACCCCATTTTTCTTGATAAAGAGACTTTTCATACCAACTTTAGCACTAAGAATGAAATCCAGATGCTGCATTAATTTTATCAATTGGTAAATAATTGAACGAGACCTTGGGACTGGGGTTTAACCTCGAGAAATAGACAATTAACGGAGAATGCTCCAAAAAAATACATTTCATCCCAGTTTATTAAAAGTATGAATAATAAGGAGAAATGGATCTGTTTCCTTTTCTTGCATGTCTAAGTGTCATTGCCATCCTACTAGAATCATTCAAATGATACTAGTTTCTCCAGAGTTTCGACATCACGATCTACTCTTGGACCAGAAGATATGCCTTTTAAAGAATTCTTAATTGCTTGAACAGAATAACTAAGAAAAAGTCCTTATTCCTCCATTGGATTGTCTCAGGATCATTACAAATATATAAACAACTACGTGAACTCTTTTGGAGTTTGTGTTTCTAGGTCCTGTTTATAAATCCTTAGACATGACAATGAGAAAGCTTTTCTAGCAGTTAAGACCTAAGAGTTATTGAATTTATCGTACTCACTAAATTGCTTTCATGCTATTGTTAATGTTGATGAAGAGAATTAGACTTTTCTAACCTAGTAAGTATAATCTATGAAAAGTAATATTCTCTATTATACTAATTCTCTGTACTATACTTCATGTCCTTACCAAAATTGTGAATCTTACTTATCACCACTGTTCTCAATAAACCATTCATTGGAAATCAACCTCAATGACAGAATTAACCAATGTGCCCAAACAACAAGGAACTAAGAGGAAGTATTTCCTACCTGGAAGGTTCTCTGAGACGGTAGCATCAAGAACAGTATCTCCAACGGCCTTTACAAAATCAGGGCCACCGGTTATTGCGCCTTCCTTTTGACTTGTAACAAGCACAACTATACCCTTATCATTTCCTTGTTCAACACTAGGGTACCACTTCTCCAAAACTTGGTCAGCATACTCAAAAGCATCAGCTTTGCTCTACAAAACAACAAAAGTCACCATTTCGATTATTTTTCCTTGGTCAGTATAGTTTACAGGGTTGAGGTCTACTAGCACATAAGTTTCTCCAAGACAAGAATTCACAAAAGCACATAAGTACTTTAAGAGCATATCAAGTAGAAAATCACCATAAAGATTGACACTTTTCTTCTCAATAACTAATTATAGATTATTAGCAAGATAAAGAAGAGAAGAAAAATTACAGTGAGCTTGCGGACAGTGATGAAATTAATGTGGAAGCCTTTTCTCTTCTCCACATCAGACAACAATGCCTTCAAATCAGACTTTGTCACCCTGCTAAGCACACCAGCATCATCAACTACATATGAGTCCTTTGGTGGCCCTTCATTTAACACATCAAATTCAGATGCCAATGCAGAATCAGAAGACACAACTGGACAAAAATTAAGGGCTAAAGAAATAGCTAGAGCAGCTAATCCTTGCTGGACATGAGAAACCCAACTTTTGGGTACTGAAAAAGATTCTTTTTCAATCTGGGAATGCTGTTTTCTGAGGCTACAGCAAATTGGCTTAGTTGATCTGGATAAGTGAGAAAGGGAAAGCAAAGGCTTTGAAAGGGAAGTTTTGGGGTTGAAGAGAGGAGAAAAAGGAGGGGAGAGAATAGTTTCCATTGGAAGAAAAACAGTAACAGATCAAAATTTGTGAGAAAATACAGAAAAAAGTTGTTTTTGTTGCTCAGTGTGACACTGGCTATGTGTTTTTTGTTCATATTTCGGGTGGTTTGTGTTGTGTTATGTTGTGTCTCCTTCATTGGTTGTGGCTGAATCTTGATCTTGTATGGATAACGTTTTTCTCAGCCATGGAGAAACACAAGGCCATTCTGGTCTTTTCATCTTCTTCATTTTTTGCAGCAGGTTTATAATCCAACCATAAAAATTTGTATTTATAAGTTATTTGGTTCATTTCAATTTATTTGTTTTTAAGGCTTTTGAAGCTTGCGTTCAATTAAAATTATTGTTAAACATATTATCCTTATCTTAAATATATCACTATCATTACCTTGAGGACAAAAATATTATTTTTGACATACCACGACTTAAATAAAATATTTTTCTACTCTTAACCAACACAGAAAATATTTTGAAAAGAAAGTTATTTCCTCCGTTTAAAAAAGAATTACCTACTTTCATTTTCATTTTGTTTGAAAAAGAATGATCCTTTCCCCTTTTTAGCAATATTTTTATTTCAGTTTTTCATATGACACGTTTAAGGCCATAAGATTTCTTGAAAAACAAGTGGATTTCTAACTTATTTTTCTCATGTTTGGTTGGTGAGTTAATTTTTTTTTTTAATGTTTGGTTGGTGAATATATTTTTGGGGATGGCGGGTACGGGGTATGGGTAGGGTAAGAAAAAGATTTTAAAGGATGAAGTAGAGTTTTGAAAAATGTTTTTCTTAATTTTGGAAAGGAAATCATTTTCCTTAAATTTGAGGAAAATGAATCGATTTGGAAAATATTTTCCAAACATTTAAAGTCAACCAAACATGGAAAAATTGGATGTATATTTAACCTAACTTTAATGTTTTAGCACAATAATAATTTTTTATTTTATTTTCTTAAATTCCATTTCAAGGCAAATTAAACGATTTTTTTAGAAAACGTAGAGAGTATTTTTAAAAAAATAACATTATTTTTGGTCATGTAAAAGAGTAAAACCAGGTGAAAAAAAGAAAAGAAGGGTAAAACCAAAATTTTTAAAAAAGGGAAAAGGTCCTGATTTACCCCTAAACTTTATGATTTGGAGCTGATATACCCTCTGTTTAAAAAATGGCTCATATATGCCCCTACCGTTATAAAAATGCTCATATATGCCCTTTTACTTAACAGAATAATTTTTAATAATTAAAAATTCATTTTTTACTTATTTAAAAAAATGACATGTGGCTTTTAAAATACCCACCTTCCACTCCACCATACCACCCGACCCAATTGGAAACAAAAAATCTCACCTACCCAAATTAACCTAACTCATTTCATTTCGTTATTTCCACACTCAAATGAAACCAAAAAAAAATTGTGAGGGTTCCAGTGAGCTCTACAATCCTGAGTTCGGGTGATATTTGACAAACGAATATTCAAAACTTCGATTCATCGGTGAAATGGAAGGCAAAATAAAAATAAAAGGTCAAACTGCCTCTTTAGAAACTTAAGCAGTCGCAGCAGTGCCCTTCTTCCTTGGATCTGCCTCAGTTCCTGAAATGCCCACAAATCAATAAACCCAGTTATTTATCAAGCATTTAACAGACCAAAGTTTGCAAGCATCAAATATTGTTACAAGAGATGCGTTATGCATCCTATATATTGCACATTTAACCTTTACTTTGTTAAGGTCTATTAATTGATCCATCTTAAACATACCGTAAATCCACAACTTAAGCATAAAGTGAGTGATAATCTATCTCTAAACAAACATGTTCATTTAGTGTGAAAAAGATCAATGGATAAGAAAGAACAAATTGCTTGAGAAATGTACCAAGCAGAGGGCACCCCCGGATAAAGAGAGGAAACACAATCTGGTAAAAAAGAAACCCTCGAATTGGAAAAGGAGATAAATGTATGCCCAGAACAAAGCCATCAAGAAATCAATTCTCGTCCTTGTATAGCCGAAAGAAGAGGCAATTAAGGGAAATATTTATTTAACTGTATTCATGTCCTAAAAATAACAATCTTCACTCAAAATGAGATCGGATACTAACAAAAAAATTATTTTTGTTTCTGTTGAGGTGGAAACCATGAAATGAAATGGGTGAAGTTAATTTGAGCGGGTGGATTTCTATTGTTTCCAATTGGGTCGGGTGGGTATGGTGGAAGGTGGGGTATTTTAAAAGCCACATGACATTTTCTTAAATTAAAGCAAAAAAAAATGAATTTTAATTTATTAAAAATTAATTTGTTAAGTAAAAGGGCATATATGAGCCATTTCTGTAACGGCAGGGACATATATAAGCCACTTTTTAAACGGAGGGTATATTAGCTCCAAATCATAAAGTTTAGGGGTAAATCAGGACCTTTTCCCCTAAAAAAAAATAATAGTGACAAGTGGCAGTCACTAAACTGTAAGCACTACCATCTTAACTTATGCTGCGAAGTAGCAAACAAATCCTCCTTAAACCCTCTTCTGAAATTCCAAAACCTCCATTTCCGTCTTGAATCTCCTTGATCACAAATGGCTTTAGGGCGATTGCAGATGCTTCGAAACATCTATAAAACAGTTGAAATTCAAGAGTTCTCTACCTTGTAAGCTGGTCAATTCATTATAATCTCTATACTTAAATTCGTATAATGCATATAAGTTCTTTCTCCAAACATTTGATATATTTGAATACATGCGAAAACGAGTTTATTAGTGAAACAGCTAGCTTCCCATTTTCCCTTATATTAAAAAAATGTTTTTTTTTTCGGATTTAAAGGTGTCTTTTGTATCAAATCTGACTCTTTTTTGGATACTGTAGGCTAGCCAGCTCAAGAAGCAATTCAAAATCTATTTCAAATGGTAAGTGTATGCTTTCAGTTTCTAATGCGCATTTGATATTCTATTTCACAAATGGGTTTGTTGAAAGTTACTTCATTTTGGTTGTGTTTAGAAGCTAAAGGAAAGATAAAGTGGATTATGTGAATGAATTGTTTTTTATGGTTGTTGTTCTCACTTATGGGATTGATCACAATATGAAATCGTAAATTAAGCTGGTCTACTTGTAGCTGAATTCCATCATGTTGGAATAAATATGTTGTTTTCTGATTATCCTATCATTTTTCATTTCAGTTCTTATGAAGGATAACTTTTATCTGTAATGAATTGAATAATCTTTTCTTGTGATCTGATACCAAGTGCTGGAGTAATTTCTCTTGCTTATATAAATGACGGACCTCCATCCATGGAATAATAGATCTACTACAAAGACCTGTTCACTTGGTGAAAGACCACTCACTCTGAATCAATTAGTTTACTTTCTTCCTTCTTGTTTCATTTTCGTTGTGTTGACCTCTCTGCCTTTTAGAATTTGAACTCTGAACTGTTAGTGGAACAAACATATTTCTTTGTTAAACTATCTACTCCTGGTGTCAGTTCCATATATCACACTGAGGTGCATATCATCCTGCATCTATAAGGACCATGGAGGTATCCCCTGGACATCTGGAGATAAAATAATGCTCCGTTCAACTACGGTGAGTTAGATTTGAAAAAAATATCGAAGTTGTATTCAGAGGCAGCTTTCCTTTTTATAATTTAAATTTTGTGAGCATTTTATCTAAGTTTTAACTTGTCTGTAACTATTAGTTGTCTCAAGTGGTTTAAGCACCTTCTGTTTGACTGTTGATGGAGCATATTGAAAGTCCAGAGAGAATCATTAAGAATAACTTTATAACTAAGAATCCCAAAAAATTAGAAAACTTTATTTTAACCTAAACTTCCGTTATTACAGTTGTTTATAATTTTCTTATATTAATTATTAAGTAGCCTAAACTCCGATATAAGAGTTCTCTTATATACTGTTCACCAACCAATTCAACAAGAGCTTTTATCTCCTCTTCTTATTTCACATGAAATAAGGAAAGTTTAGGCTAAAGGGAGTTTCGCAGCAGAAGAGGTGAATTTTCTGTGGAGTCTATGGAATCCCAATTGATGGTTGACACTCTTATGGTGTGTCCTTATCTCTTTTAGACAGATCACAGTTCTTTTTGAACTGTTTCAATATTATTTTAAAATTGGTTGATCAGTGAATCTGTTGCTGTCTCTTCTGTACTATTGTCCTTGTTAGTTTGCTCACTTTTTCTTCTAGTGGAATTGATACTCCTGATCCTTTTCCTTGTAGCAATTGTATATCCTTATTTTGTTGAATGAGAGCTTTGATTACTCCCATCACTTTTACTTTCCGTCTAGACGCAGGAGCCAATAAGCTATGGTTACATGCGATCAGTTACAACAAAAGCAAAAGCTCCAGCCCAAGCACGACAAATGGTAACAAAATTGAAACTCTGCTAGTGATGAATAATTATGCTTGGTTTCATTTTGGTTGTTACTTGTTAGTGTTAAGCACATTAATCTGTTACGGCCTTTAGATTATTCTTTTGATGTGGTAGTTTTCTCCCTTGGTGACTTGGACCCACAACCTTAAGGTTGGAGATAGATGTGCTTTTCACTTGAGCTACCCACTCTTGTCAAAAGAATTTTTTTTTTATGATTAAGTTGGATAAACATTTAAGCTTTAAATTTTTTCCGTCTATAGGGAGCAGTCAAAGTGTCTATGCTGAGTCCTGGAATCATATATGAGCCTTATGTCCCTCGTGAGAAAATCCCATTCTGGAAGCGGTAAGTAAGACTTCTCATGCAATTGGCTTTTGATTTTGGTTGCTCGCCCTTCTGATTAATATCTAAATACAAGAGATCTTTTCTGGAATCAGTTTTAGTCTATATCTAACAGAGAGAAAACTATTATGGTATTTAGGTAACTTTTGGTGTGGCAGTCTAGGACCGTCAAATTCTTTGTTCTAGTTACAAACTGACATTGATTAGGACAGGATGGATTGTATATGCTCACATAAGACAGTATCCAAGGAGAAAATATAATGTGGAGAAAACTGAGGCAAGCTAAATATGGACAACACGCACCATGGTGCACAAATGAGGTAGTAAGTTCTTATGGGGTTGGTATACCGAAACATATAAGAATCAATGGACTAATATTAAGTTATTAACAATGTCTAGTTCAAAGTGGAAATAGGAGGTGCTTTGAAGACAAAAAGGAGAT